TAATTTCCTTTTTTTTTTTGCATTTTTTGTAATATTTATATATATATATATATATATATATATATATATATATATATATATATATATATATTTGAAGAGGAGATTGGATTAATGTGTTCATGGTGGCGAAAACATACTATCGGTAAAATATGTTTGTAAAAGTTTATATATATATATATATATATATATATATGAAAGAAAAACAGACCCCTTTAAGGTACCATTATAATAATTTATTTCACCAGAGCACTTTTAAAGGACGCCGGATCATCATATAGCACTTCCAAATATATATAGTGATTTTCCAAGCATAGCTCAGATGTGGCACAAGGCCAAAATTAGGGGGCACCCAGTGAGAATCGAACTCACTACTCAGCCGTAGTTGTTCTAGTGAAACAAGCTTGCTAACAATTACACTACCTCGAGATGCCCCTTTATATATATATAATGTGTGTGTGTGCTATATTTATGGGATAAAGTGCTCAATATCAGAGAGCGTGTGCAAATATAAAATTGAACATTGAAGTCAACACTTAGAGGCGACAGGTTGTTTCATGCTAGACGCAATCGTCAGGCCACATATATATGTACATATTTGTGTGTATGTCTTTCATTGAATGTGACCGAAAAGTTTAATTTTTTTCCAAAGTTCTTACAGTTTTCTATTTGGAAGGATCAAGGGTGGGGTCCGTAATGATTGTCCCAATCGCTTTTGGCCAATTCATTAGCCATTTTTTTTTTAAAGGGACCCGTTCTTAATGTTTTTCAGTGTTCGCGTTATAACGTGTATATTAAATACGAGCATCGATTTCAATGACGGTTGAAGTTTTATATTTAAAAGTTTGTCACTTAGCCGATTGCTGCTACCTTCAGCATCCCACATCTTCAGGAGGGTATCAATAATTTACTCTCAGAAATATAGACAGGAAAATATAAATACAAATATTGTAATTTATTTACGCTATTTAAATCGTTCCGGTTGTTGTCGTCATCTTTGTCACATTCACGACGTTTCGGCCGTTGTACGCTCCGGCATTCTTCAGTTGGAATTACTTAGCTGGCTTATGTCAGAGGGTATACCCCAGACGAGGCTCTGCCGAAGGGCAGGGTCTCGTCTCCGGAAACTGATTTCGTTTTTACGTAGTCTATAAGGAATTTTTTGCCCGAGCCTACGGGCTCGGATACCCCAATTTAAATTCGGCCTTGTGCGATATCTTAGACCGGTTGCCACTCAAGGCTATAGAACCTGGTCTGTCCTGCTATTTGCCCATAATTGAGGGAGAATTCTCAAAGATAATAACACGTAAATAAGTGGAATTCGAACTCGACTCTCCGGTCTAGGAAAAGGCCAACCCTGAATTCAAAACCTGCGGAGGGTCGTTTTAGGAACTTGTGGCACGTAGTGCAGCAGGTCTCTGTATTTGTTCTGCACAAAGCTTTCACCACTATAATCAAATCATATGTGCTGGTGTCTGACTGTCGGTTCCTAGGAGCTGAATTGCTTGACCCTCATACATCGAGAAGGTCCAGAATATATATATATATATACGCACTCTTTATACATCAATCAGTTATGTGCCATGTGAGATACACTGTTAGGCGATTATATAACTTTCGTTTCTTCAGTAGACCTGTTGCCATCCAAGTCTAAAGAACCCGGTCTATCCTGCTGTTTACCCATAGCTGGGTATAGAAGATGAGGATTCATATATTTCCCAAGGGTATTAGCACGTAAGTGAATGTAATGGATTCGAGTGGAATTCGAACTCAGCTCTCCGATTCATCAATCCGAGCCGTTATCCAATACTCCACCGTGATATATATATTCGGCCCTTCAAAAAGTGTGGATGGTCCTGCACGAAACCTTCACCACTATAAACAAATCTCATGTGCTGTTGTCGGGCTGTCAGTTTCCTGCGAACTGATCTGCATGACCCTCATACGACGAACTCGACGGGAGAGTCGACTAATATATATATATATATATATATATATATATATATATATATATATATATAAAAAAGAAAGAAATATCTTTAAATTTATAAATGGAAAAAAAATGCTGTAAGAATTTTTTTACTGTTAACAATAATTTTTAAAAAAATCCAGACGACATGCATTCAACGGATGTCAGTTTTCATTGGAAAATGCATCCCTACCCCTTACCAAATTCTAGCTAATAAATGATACAATGATACTGACATAAGGAATACCTAGATATCCCTTGTCCAATTGAAGTAGAATATTCTGTATCCATGGAAACGTGATTTTAGCTGTGTCTTTAAAACCCAGTAATTTTTTAAAAGTTACTCCAAAATTCGCTTGAGGATGAAATGGAACTAATGCTTTTAATTTAATTGCAAAATTAAATTCGGGGCTTTTAGCTTCTATTTTTGAAACATGGTTAGAACTGTGTAGCGGAAAAACATATTTTAAATCAATTAATTTATAATATATATATATAACTTAATATTAAACTAACGAAAATTAGAAAATCCTGAAACCTCCTGACAAGTGAACAAAACGATTACAAAATGGTTTGTCTACGAAACTCTGGAGTCGGTATGCTGAATATAACATCTATCAGCTAAGTGAAAAATTTTATATTTGCATTAATTATACATGCTTAATACTTGTATATGTACACTTGTTTTTTTGGGTATAAATTTTCTTGCATCTCAGTCGAAATTGTTACTTCTATATAAACTTTGCTGCGATTTTCATGCAAACCTTAGTATCCTGTGTTTCTTTCTTAATCATAAAAATTGCGACGATATTGATCGACTGAAAAAAAAAATAAGTTTAATTTTGACACAAAAAAATGTGCTATACGCCTTCGGGATATGAAAGATAATGGCAGATGATACTCAGCTTTTGTAAATATAAATGTTTGTGTGGATATGATTACTAGAGGCGGTGTTATTTGCGTTTTGTTGAAGTTATATTTTGGAATATTGTTTAAGATATATGGATTAATGTCATGAAAGAGTTCTTTCATATTGGTTGTTTGGTTTAGCTGCATATCAACACCTCTATGGGTTATTTAACGCTGAAATCTAAATTATATTGAATGCATTTGCATGTCTTCAACCACAGATAAAATATATTGCTGGTCATTTTACTATAAATATGTATTGCTGGTGCTTTTACTATAAATATATATTTTATACTTTCATAGTCTTTTCTTATTGTTTGGAGGGTCAGTATTTGCCCATAGTTGGGACCCTAACGTGTACTACTGTGGATCAGGGTGGGTCCTGGAACAATTGCAATTAAGATGGTTCCACGCCCCTCAAAACCTTTAATCTCCCGATCAGAAGGTTTCAGAGGAAGATAATTCGTAACCCACAAGTACGTGAAGACGCTTTTGAACTCGATCGAGATTGGAAAGTGATCATTCGGCAACTCCTGCCCATATATAGCAGCAGTACTCCATGTTCGACCCGATCTGACCCTTGCATAGGTAGAGGATAGCAGGAACACAGACGTGTGTATATATATATATATATATATATATTTATTTATATATTTATTTATTTATGAGATGAGGTATTGTGTACACTATTTACGTTTCGGCCGTTGTTCGCTCCGGTCTTATTCAGGTGGTTGGAATGTCGAACTGAACCCTTTATTTCGCTCACTGGAGTAGACTCTTCTAGATCCACGTGCCATGTATAATGGATGTTAGTTATCAGTTATCTCCTGTTAATTCGCCTCTCCAAGTTCTCCACTGCCTTAAACGGGTATTGAACTCATACTCTTTCACTGGATCTAACTAACGCCTTTATCCACTGTGCCATGTGTCCTTGAAACCTTGTAATAAATATGGCGACAAAGATGAGGACAATTGTCAGAATAATGTAAATAGTGTTTTATATATTTTATATATATATATATATATATATATATATATATATATATATATATATATATAAACACTCTAATCTCTCGTCGAATTCGACGTATGTTTGTCAATCAGACCAGTTCCTAGGAACTGGCAACCTAACACCAGCACATGAGATTTGAGTTTTGTGTAGAACCAGCCACACTTTTTGAAGGTCCGAATACAAAGACCTTGTGCACTACGTGCCACAAGGTCCCCAAACGACCCTCCGCAGGTTTTGAATTCAGAGTTTTCCTTCTCCAAGACCAGTTGCCATCCAAGGCTATAGAACCCAGACTGTCCTGGAGGAACTTGGGCAAGATAGCCTGACGGAGCCCTCTCTCTCTCTCTCTCATATATATATATATATATATATATATATATATATATATATATATCAAACATGTGGTGCCGTTCAATTTATATTACAATGAATCGTTCATACAAAAAGTAGATTAGTAAAGTTAATGATATAAAATGGCGAAATTTTAAAGGTGCCTTAACCTAAAAATCACACGATGAATGTTACGATCCTTGTTTTTAAAAATTACAAGCTGTATAAGGTCTTTCTTTAATACGCAAGTACTTTCAACTGTACATTCAGTCATCTTCAGGCATGGAAATTATTGTTTTTGGCAAAATTCAGGTAACATCCGAGACGAAAAAATATAATGCGGATCGAATTATAAAAAAAAATTGAACCATAACGTTGTAACTGCATGCTGCAAAAGTTTGTATCCGTTAAAAAAAATAATTTTTTCGATTCATATATATTTTTTTCATTGTTTTATATATATATATATATATATATATATATATATATATATATATATATATATATATATATATATATTTTCTGATCTCTGGTCGTCGGATTTGGCAAAGTAATTTAATTTATTGCCTTATGCTCAAATATCCCAACGCATTTTCCATACACACATTTTTGTCTTTCATTCATGCCGACTTGCAGAAGCTGAGCCTGACACACTGGAAGTCGTCGAAATGCGTCGTTTTGTTTCGTCTCACACACACATACACACACATACACAAACACACACACACTGCATGGAGACTGTTGGTTTCCCGCCGCAAGTTATCTTCTGTCTATATTTACAAGCTCTCTCTCTCTCTCTCTCTCTCTCTCTCTCTCGACAATCACAAATGTAGGAAAGAGATCCGGGTCGTGTTGAGTTTCTTTTGACCCCCCCACTCCCTGAAATGCACAAAAGCCCAACCCCAACGTTAAGCATACAGTCTAATCTTTTAATACTCTTAACATCATAAGTACAAATCCTCAGTAATCACACGTGTACGGACAAGTCTTTTAAATACAGGAAGGGGCACTGAAAAACTCCTGGCTCGCCTTGCTTACCAAAATCTGACCAAACACCTTTTTTTTTTTTTTTTTTTTTTTTTTGAGAAACTCGTCTTGGCTGTGGTGAGTCTTTTTCAGCACCCCATTTTATTATCCCCCAATGATAATTATATTTAGAAATTGTTGGTGGTCCTGTCAAAATAGTCGAGATTGATGAATCAAAGTTAGGGCTCAGGAAATTTAACAAAAAATCGTGTAGCAGCTTCTTGTATTTTTTAAGTTTTTTTTTTTTTTTAAATTTTATTGTTGAAAAATAAGATTCAAAGTATTTAATACAAGTTTTTTTTTCAGATAAGATCTCTTGAAGTTAACTTCGCGCCATAATGAAGTTCTAAGAGGATAAAATATAAATCTTCCTTTTTATTTCTTTTATAAAAACCTGTAAGACGTTTTCATTTTTAAAGTTAAAGCATGGCGGAATGAGACGTGTACTTCCTGGATAAATGATTAGAAAAAAATCCTGTTATCCGTTTGTCTCGTGTGTATCTGTCCAATGTTCAGTTGAACACACTTCCTGGTTTACGTTGCTTCACTCAGCAACATCATTCGAGGGCCGATTCTGCACTTGGTAGCTTTAAGGTTACCTTCTAGATTCCTAGGTTTTTCACTTTGACTGAATTTCTGAAATGAGGACTTAATATTATTTATATTCGAAGTAAAGTTCTTATACTTGTCCCCCCAACTACACGTGGCTCAGTGGATAAAAGCGTTGGTTGAAATAATCCAAAAGTGACTTGACCCAAAGAGTTACGAGTTCAATACTAAGCCACAACAATGGTGAACAAAACCTTGCAGAGTTGAGTTACTAAAAAGAATTAACGGAAATTAAGACGTCCAGAAAAGGCATGGCACGTGGAACTAGACCACTCTAACCTCGTGGTTTGGTTTGGAATTGGAACGTATATCAGCTGAAGATCGTTGCAACGCCGTAAAGATAAAATAAAAGATGAGGACAGCATTCCGGCCGATGTGGTGTAAATGTTATTGTTATCAAAACAATGTTTCAGCCGTTGCGTTCTCCAGCCTTCTCCAAGTAATTTTTAGTGGTCCTTTTATTTAATCTAGATCAATGATTCCTATCGTGGGTCTCATGCCCCACCGGTGGGGAATGGTAATATTTTGGTGGGGCATGCGTAGGATTGTGCACCCTTCGGCTTACTATACCAACAGAATAAGGGGTCAATTCGAGAATGAGTTATTAACAACGAATTGTTTTCTAGTGAGTCCGAGAGTGTTAATGCGTGTTGATACATCCGATGCATATACAGTATGCATACATAAAAATATTTTGTTTGTATGTACCTATAATTGGCATACAAGATATTTCCCGTCTTCCCACACTGTTAGCAAAAAAGAGGGTGTGATGCATGTTGCAGGAAGAGCCCATGATTTGTCAACCAACCAGCACATAAGGAGAGAGGGTGATGCATGTTGCTTGAAGAGCCCATGTTTTGTCGGCTAATCAGCGCGTAAAGAGAGGGCGTGATGCATGTCGCTGGAAGAGCCCACGTTTTGTCGGCCAATCAGCGCATAAGGAGAGGGCGTGATGCATGTCGCTGGAAGAGCCCATATTTTGTCGGCCAATCAGCGCGTGTGAGCATTTCAGTTTGCTTCCGCCATGTGAATTGCAATAAAATTTTGAATATATAAGAATGAAATATTTCAGCTGGACACGAGAATTTTAGAAATACCAAAGTGGGGAATGGAACGAAATCGGTTTGGAACCATTGGTCGTGGTGGTTCTCGTTCTGTCTCGGGAAATCTCGTTTCTTTTCTTTAGTTTTTTTTTTTGTCTTTTTGTTTAGTATTGCTCATTTATAACTCACCTCGATTCCACTGAGTCTCAATTTGCACCACCCGTCCCAGAATTCACAATTACCATGTCGCCACATTCCCAAACCGACGCTTTAATTCACGATGCTATTGTTCCATCTTTTGGCTTAGTGATTATTGAAAGTGTTACTTTGTGAATTTAGTAGCATAGTACTTGAGTTCAATTCCTGGTACAGGATATAATCCGTGGAAACAGGTAAGTAATACCTAAACCGAACTAAAAAGAATATGAAATGACCTGCTTCGGCGCTACGTTGTGCCTTCTTCAGGCGATGGTAAATGACCCTGTGATTAAATAATTAAGATTTTTCAAAAGCAAAGTATTACCTTTTTTTTCCAAAATATAAAGGGGTGGCGGTGAGAAAACACAAGGTCAGAATTAAAATTAAACTTTTAGGTTTGTCTTAATTAACTGATTAAATTATTAGTTATTTTTACATGACATGATAAACCTGAACTTAGGTCATCATTGACAAATACGAAAAACAAGCAACTAATGTTTTTTTTTTTTTTTTTTTTTCACGTTTTATCAACCGTCTCTGAGTTATTTAAATCCGAAAGATTTTGTATTGTAAGAATAAAGTTTTTTCTTTAATGTATGTAACTGATTTGTTTTTTTAAAGCTAGAAAATATTTTACGATTTTAAGCATAGTTTGAAGATAATAATTTAATGATACAAGTTCTACTAATTAACCCATACCTGGGTGATAAAGCCAGATTCAGAAGGTATTTTTGTGCGTAAGTGAATATAATGAACCCTACAGGAATTGGAATTTGATTCTTCAATCACACATCCAAAATTACAATACCTGGTATTCAACAAGCGGTCACCGATCTAGGTAGTAACCAGGCAGAACGTTCCTTAACTTCGGTGAATCGTATGAGAACTGATGCCCTAATTCTTTTCCTCGAGTAGCTTAAGAACATTGTACTGGATGAACATTTAGAAAAGAAATATGGTGGAATGAAAATTTCCCTGAAAATCAGTTTTGCCTTATACTTTGATATATCGCCGAGTATTTAAGGCGAACTCTGATTTTTTTTTCTATTTGAAGGCGAAATCTGCTCTGTTTTATTAACGATAAAGATGCTTATATTTTCTCTTTCTTTTTCCTGATATATTTTTGTGCGGTCTGTGTAATGGATAGCGGCTCTGAGCGAGAATTCGGTGAGGGGAGTTCGTTACCTTCACCTATGCGCAGTGTATTGGTTAACAAGCTTGTCTCGCTAGATCAGTTACGGCTGAAAAGTGAGTTCGATCTTCACCAGGTGCTCCGTACTTTCGGCTTTGTGCCACATCTAAGCTACACTTAAAAACTCATTTGGGCACTTTGACGTGGCGTAATGGTTAGCAGGGTTATCACGCTAAATCAAATTACGGCTGAGCATAGTACTCCATACTTTCGGCCTTGTGTCACATCTAAGCTACGTTTAGAAAATCACTATTCACCTACGTGCAGTTAGCCTTGTGAAAGGTGCAAAATCTGATCAAAATGTATCAGGGAAGCTGCTATAAAAAAATAAAACTACAACACACATCAATTCGGCATTTAATCTCCTTCGAAGTAATCCTCCATCAGTTGCTTCGTTGCATCCTCTTATATTTCCTCGACGTCTTGAATTCTTGGCCCTTTCAAGTTCAATTTGATTTTTCAAGTGCATAAAGTCGCAAGAGACGAGACATTTTTTTTTTACTGATGTTTCCAATACATGGCTTAAGAGCCATTCAAGGTAGAGGGTTACTGTGCGGACTTCTATTAGGAGTATAAAGCTGAAGCAGACATCAGAAGCAACCGGAAACCCAATCCTAAACTGGAAACAAAGGATAAACCTCTATTCCTTTTCAAAAGAGTGGAGAGAAGTGTGAACCGAACGACGCTAGACGATCTTGGAGATATGGTGGTTGTCGGACCTGGAGAATGTTGTACTTGGAGAAAAACTCCCGCACAAGCAATGGTACCTGATGGAATCTCTGGTTCGGTGAGATGACCACACTCTACACACTTTCCTTCCAAACACTAATATAATCAAGGAACGTGAGCGAGAACGTTATGACTTTGTATGTGTGACAGAGTTCAAGGGTCAGTGTGTGCCGAGCGGCTTCACTCTGCGTACTTTAGCTACGTTACCATAGCAACAGCCCCGATACTTTTTTATCAAACCCCGTATGAATCCATCGCTTCTTTCGGTTTAATATCAGACCGGGCTTTTTGAATCGCTTCGGTTGGTAATCAGTTTAGACGGATAACACTGAATTCAAAACCGTATGTGGCCCTGAGACCAAAGCACGGGGGTTGCCCTTTGGCAAGGCATAGCACTCGTAAACCACCCCACTGTAAGATAACGATGATTGCATCAGTAGAAGGGTGTTGGTCTTGGTCTATGGCAGAATCTTACAGGACAGATTGGTGGCGTTGAGCCACAATGGTGTCATGCAAAATGATCTTTTTATACCGGACCATGTGTGAGACCTAACTATTCCGAGTCAGGTGGAAACATGGGTAACAGACAGAGAAACGCTTTGGGTCTCTTAATATATGGCAATGCTAATAGTAATATTAGCCATTTCGCTATAAGGAAACATTTGACCGAGCAGCCACCACTGCTGACGATTGTAAAATGGCTTTCACGAGTCCAGTAGCTGTCATCGCTCTTTCGAGTATTGATGAGGGTTTTCTTCCTAACCTTTTGTTTGAAGTAGTGTGGAATGCCAACATCTTGATTATGTTATTTGTTTCTCTTTGAGTTACGTGTGTTATCCATTTTAGTTGTTGCTGCTATTGGTAGTCTTGAAGTGATGTGGTTTATGTTACTTGGTATAGTGTTGTGTGATTATGTAGCGTCAGTCGATAATGGTCAAAGAAGGATCCACAGGTTTCGCTCGCTCAAAACCATTTTTAACGATTGATCTTTCAAAGCAGTTGTATGTAATTGACAGATCGATTGATCGAGTTGTTTATCGATATATCAATTCCTTATCGGCCATTATGCCGAAATTTAATTTTCTTGAGGGCTTTGAAATAAAAATGTTATTTAATAATTGAATACATAGTAGATAATGTTCCGCTTTTGTGCATATGAATGCTTGTGTGGACATAATTCCTAGAGGCGGTGTGTTTTATGTCGTAATTTTGTTGAAGTTATATTTTGGAACACAGTTTGATTTCATTAAGCAATTGTAGAATATTATATGGATTAATGTCATGAATGATTTTTTTCATGTTTGGTTCATTTTTTTAGCGGCATATCAACCTCTATAGGTTTGTTGTTGCCATGTTAGGGCCAGAAATAAAGAAACAAAGAGGAATTGAGTTAAACAAATATATTAACAAAAACAGTAATACAAACATATACAAACGAGTGTTACGGCAAGAATGTTTGGTCCAACTGTCAGAGCTGACTGCTGGAAATTTCCCTCTCTAAAAGGCAGTACCTGCTCCTATTTATAGCTGGGTGAGTCCATGCCTGCGTGGGTAAATTACCATAAAGTTATTTAACGCCGAAATCTAAATATTTTGAAAGCAATTTTATGGCTACACCTAAATATATTTTGTACGAAATTGCATGCCTTCAACTACAGATAAAATGTATTGTTGGTTATTCTACTATAAATAGGAATTGTTGGTAACGTTTTATATAAAAATGTATTGTCAGTAATTTTACTATAAAAATGTATTTTTATACTTTAATAATATTTTGTTTTAGGAGTTCACTATTTTCCATAGCTGGGACCCTAACAGGTGCTACCTTCCCGGATCAGGGTGGAAATGGTGACAACAGTAATTAAGAGGTGGTTAAAAGCTGCTCAAAATCTCCAATCACCCCGATTAGTCCCCTTTGTGGATGTAGTTTATCGTCATACCCAGGACGATCGTTGGAGAGATAAGAGACGGATTTATGCCTTTTCCATATACATTAGTGTGAAAGTGAACGCAACAGACTAGGCCGGAATTTGAACCCAGCTCGCCGATTGATTTCTTTGTTTAACGGCACATCAACTGTCTTTGGACCATCTAATGCCGAACTTTTATTTTCATGGAACTTTGAATTAATAAGAATATATGTTATTCTGCTCTCACAATAGAATATATGATAGATGATACTCAGCTTTTGTGCATATACATGTTTGTGTAGACATAATTATTAGAGGCGGTGATATGTGCGTTTTATGTCGTAATTTTGTTGAAGTTATATTTTGGAACACAGTTTGATTTCATTAAGTAATTGTAGAATATTATATGGATTAATGTCATGAAAGAGATTTTTCATGTTTGTTTGGTTGATTTTGTTTAGCGGCATATCAACACCTCTATGGGTTATTTAATTCGAAATGTAAATATTGTTTACGTAATTTTATGCGTTCAACTACAGATATTTGTACATTATTTTATACTTTTTTTTTTTTTTTTTAGATATAGATATTTTGGAGATCATAAAATGTATTGTTGGTAATTTTGGTTACTAATTGGGTTCCCCAATTTGCTCATAGCAAGTGCCATCACCCCGTGTCAGGGTGCACCTGGGGAACAAACAGCAATTAAGAGCTAGTTCCACGCACCTCAAAACCTCACACCTTGCTGCCAGATGTTGTCTATCGTCATACCCAGAACTTACACGCGTCCGAGTTTCCTATGATTACACATGGGTGTGCGTGCGTGTGTGTTTTGTTCTATTCCAACACTCAAATACGGTTTTGTCAAGCTTTGTGTATACAAGCAAATACTTTTGGCAAACCTTTAAAATATTGAAAATTGATCGAATATTTATACGGATAATTTTTTAAATCTGTCGCTCGAAGTAATAATCTGATAAATTTGTTATCTGTTTATATTTTTGAGATGAGGTATTATGTACATTATTTACATTGTTCGGACTATTGTCCTCATCTTTGTCGCCATATTTATTATAACGTTTCGGCCGTTGTACGCTCCGGCCTTCTTCAGTTGGTTGGAATGTCGAATTGAACCCTTTATTTCGCTCACTAGGGTAGACTGTTCTAGTTTCACGTGCCTTGAGGACACATGGCATAATTAAGGCAGTGGAGAACTTTCAGAGGGAAATTAACAGGAGATAACTAATAACTGACATCCATTAGACAAGGCACGTGGAACTAGAACAGTCTACCCCAGTAATTCATGTTAGCAACTGAAAATGAAACGAAGCAAAATGGCTTCATATGTGCATTTTGAAAATGAAAACACGTTTTTAGTTCTTGACTCTATTTCGCTTTTATGAGACCTACAAATGTGTCAGATCATTTTGCCGCACACTCTAAAATTTTCGATTAAGCAATCCAGGGTATGAATTTCAAAACAATGTTTTTGTTTTTTAAACTTCATGAAATCGTGTCGTATGGGCTTATTTTGTTTTGGCTTCCGTAGAGGTGGGATCATTTTAGTTTATTTACAGTCGCATTACTTATTATACAATTGTGCTACTCAAGCTGCTTAACTTAACGCTACCAGAAGGCAACACGTATCGAGCTCAGTTAGACTCGAACTCACTACAACTGCACTATAATTTCGGCTTGTTGACCATAACCCCACAATGAGACACTCTGACACTTGTTACGTGTCGGAGACGCTACATATACCAATTACATACGATTACAGGATTTTAAAAAAGTAGTTAAATACAAATAACATTCAGGTAGTTACATAAAATAAACTTTAATAATTGAATCTGAGTTAGATTTAACGAAAGACCATTATTTTGAGAGAATTATGCGTGATTTGGAAGAAGTTAGGGGGCCGGTTGTATAAAATGTGAAAGATTGTTAAAGAACGAAAGGAGATTTCGACAGAAGCAGACGAGAGGCTTAAATCAAGAGTGATTGGATTTGATCACACAGAAAACACCATCTACCTCTCCCTCATCAATATAAAAAAAAAATCTCCCAGGTCTTCTTTTTCTCTCTTTCTTCTTTCTCCTTTTTCTACTTCTTTCATTACTCTTTTTGTATTTACTTTATTCTTTTCGTCTATTCTTTCTTTCTTTTCTTTCTTTCTTACTTTCTTTGCGTCTTACTTTCTTTCTTTCTTTACGTCTTTTCTTTCTTTCTTTCTTTACGTCTTTTCTTTCTTTCTTTCTTTACGTCTTTTCTTTCTTTCTTTCTTTACGTCTTTTCTTTCTTTCTTTACGTCTTTTCTTTCTTTCTTTACGTCTTTTCTTTCTTTCTTTACGTCTTTTCTTTTTTCTTTCTTTCTTTACGTCTTTTTTTTTCTTTCTTTTTCTTTTTTACGTCTTTTCTTTCTTTCTTTTCTTTCTTTACGTCTTTTCTTTCTTTCTTTTCTTTTTTACGTCTTTTCTTTCTTTCTTTCTTTCTTTACGTCTTTTCTTTCTTTCTTTCTTTCTTTACGTCTTTTCTTTCTTTCTTTTCTTTCTTTACGTCTTTTCTTTCTTTCTTTTCTTTCTTTACGTCTTTTCTTTCTTTTCTTACCTTCCTTTTCATTTAAAAAAAAAACAGCTAAAGCAATATCTTTAGCACTCATATTTTTAAAACAATCTTTTAACCTCTCGCCGTTTCCAAGCTTGTACGTGTCATGTCCAACCTGCTACATATTTTAGTCTAACATGGAAACATCTTATAAAAATAAAAACTAGAATTTACGGCGGATCTGCTGAATAATGCCGACAATAACTGCATAATTCAATAAACAGTAAACGCTTCGTCGTAAATATTTTCTTCTTAATATTTCTTGCTGAAATGGTGTGAATGGGGGAGGAATATGCCAGTGGGCCTTATATGTCATCCAATATGGTATGTAGCACGCTGACGTTGTAATGATGTTCCGTGTGCCCAAAATGGAGCTGAGTGTGTCAGTCACTCTGCCTAAATTCCAAATGTTAATCATCACTGCTCTTGCACTGCACTAAAAAGAAATTGAACCCACAGGATAGCTCCTGGGTGTGTCACTTGCCCTGGGAGAAGGTAAACATATATAATATCTCCATTACTGAAAGAATTACTACTTTTTCAGTGGATAAAGACGTTGGTTAGATCCAGTGACTAGACCCAAAGAGTTGTGAGTTCAATATCAGGCTATAGCAGTGGTGAACCAAAAAACTTGGAGGGTTGAGTTAAAAGGAAATGGTACGTTAAACTAGAACAATCTACTCCGGTGGACGAAATAAAGGGTTGGGTTCGAAATTCCAATCACCTGAAGAAGGCCAGAGTGTGTAAGGGCCGAAACGTTGTGAATATGGCAATTGAAATGAGGATAACAGGCCAAATAATATAAATAATCTCATCTCAGAGATATAGACAGATCCCGAAGAAGGCCGGGGCGTACAACGGCCGAAGCGTTGTGAATATGGCAATGACGATGAGGATAACAGTCCGAATATTGTAAATAATCATAATACCTCATCTCAGAGATATACACAGATAAGATGTCCATTTCTGAAAGAATTAATATTTTCCAAAGACAAGATATATGACTACAAATTTTTTTTTAAATTAAAAGAAAATTATTAAATCCATATATATATATATATATATATATATATATATATATACCGTAATTCCCCATGCATAGTACGTCTTCATCCATAATGTGTACACCTAAATTTGTGGTGAAAGTGTGAAAAAATACTTCTACTAATATATACCTAAGTATAGTATTGGTGTATACGGAGTAAATTCCAATAGCCAACAAATACTATTCTTAAAAGAGTGCTCAGTACAGAGTAGAGCAATATGATTTATTCGAAAATAAAACATAAAAATGTTATAAAATCACACATTTTTATGTTATAATTTTTCGAATGATTGATATATATATATATATATATATATATATATATATATATATATATATATATAATGCCTTTCAATTCCTTGAGGAATATAAGATATCGTTGCGGTTTCTATAAGGGTGGAGTAATGGATAGCGGCTCCGATTGAGGACTTACATTACATTCAATTACGTGCTAATACCCTGTGGAAATGTATGAATCCTCTTCTCCTCCCAGCTATGTGTAAATAGCAGGACAGACCGGGTTCTATAACCTTGGATGACAACTTGTCTACTGCAGAAAGAAATGGCAGCCTACTGCGGGAAAAAAATCTGCCTCGTCAGTCATGTATCGAAGGATACGTGATCACCTAAGCGTGTATCACGCATGGCACATAACTGACTGACCCTTGAGAAAGGTATGAATCCTTTTCTTCTCCTCCCAGGACAGACCGGGTTCCATAGCCTTGGATGGCAACTGGTCTACCGCAGAAAGAAATGACAACGTACTGCGGGAAAAAAATCTGTCTCGTCAGTCATGAAAGATACATGATCCCCTAAGCGTGTATTACGCATGGCATATAACTGACTGAGGTTGCACAACCCCCAACCTGGAGGATCAGGTTTTGAGTTGTCCTTCTCCTAGACCAGTTGCCATCCAAGGCTATAGAACCCAGTCTGTCCTGCTATTTACCGATAATTTCATATTATTTATTATATAACACATAATATTAATCCCAAACTAAAATAATAAAAAGAAATAAAAACACACTTTCTTCTTGTATATAAGGAGCAGCGTCCGGTTAGAAATTATGCGAAGTTTGTAGATTTAAAAAGCAGTAAAATCGACCTTGCTAACCAGCCGCTCCTTCGTATGTATACTAGTATAGCACGCCAGGCTAGATGACGGTTCCGAGTAGGATAAAGGTTCGATTCTTGTCGGAGGACGCATATTTTTTATGAAATTTCTCGGACGTTGAGGCCGTTAAATGTCGTTAATACTGTTTATTATAATCAGAGCATTTACTTAAATATTTGTGTCTATAAAAATAACGTATAAATAGAAAATATATTTAAGTAATTGTCGAACTTAGTCCATTTCATAATATATGATGTATTTGTTTACGTTAACGTACGCTTCGAGCAGATATGAGCGTTCGGGATAAATTATGGGAAATCTGTAGTTTAAAAACAGTAATTCGATCTGTCGGAGGATATATATTTTCTTTGCGATTTCTCGCACATTCAGGACAGTAAATGTAATTAACCCATTAACTGCCAATTTTTTTTAATATGCATTTTTGGCCCAGACAGGTGTCTTAGGAGTTTATTTATTCTTTATGTTTAGTTCAGTAGTTACCATTGTCGTTTTTATACTAGAACATCAAATATAGAATATATATATATATATATATATATATATATATATATATATATATATATATATATATTTTTCTAATCAATATTATTTTTATATTTTTATACACACACACACAATGTCATATTATATATGTGTGTGTGTGTGTGTGTAAAAAAAAAAATAATATTGATTAGAAATAATAAATATATACTTTTCAAAATAGTCATTATTTTTTTACTCGTGAAATGTAAAATTACGACAGAAAGTGTCTTCTTACGGCTAATAATAAAAAAACTTTAAAGGCTAAGTGTTGTAAAATATACCTCTGCAAATGCAATGTATGTAAGCAATTCAATGTAAATACAAGGAATAACATGTAGTGAGTTAAATTTTAACAGATCCCTAAATGGGGCTCATAGCAGGTAATAGGCTAATACTGTTTATTATAAACAGAGCATTTACTTAAATATTTGCCTATATATAAATAAGGTACAACAATAAAAATAATGATAGTCCAAGTATAACACTATTTTTTGACTAGTGCTTGGTATATTATTGTCGGGTGTGTGACATAAGTTGTATATTCAGTGATGCGTGTGTAACTATCTCTGTAGCTATTGTCTTGTTCAACAGCTAACGGGTCATATTTCAAGCATTTGTTCTCGTCAAGTAAATTATAGCGACTCTCTTTAAGTCTGTATGCGTGTGAGGCCGTCTTTTTAAACGGAGAAACATGAGTAATGGGACGCACACACGGACAGTAAGTTTACATGTATTTATTTCCATCTGAGTGAGACTTTAAATCTCGGATACTGTTGAATATACGGTGTCTGTGAGCGTCTTCAAATATTTACACCTGTGTGTGTGTGTGAGAGAGATTTTGTGTTTAAAGTTTAGATACATGCTGTTTCATCTGCCACGTGCATACACTCATCTGTGTAGAGACGTGTGTGACAAAAATAAGTGTGGCCGTTTTTCTCTCTCTCTTTGTCTCCCTTTTTCTCTCTTTCTCTCTCTCTTTGTCTCCCTTTTTCTCTCTTTCTCTCTCTCTTTGTCTCCCTTTTTCTCTCTTTGTCTCCCTTTTTCTCTCTTTGTCTCCCTTTTTCTCTCTTTGTCTCCCTTTTTCTCTTTTTCTTTTTCTCCCTTTCTCTTTGTCTCCCTTTTTCTCTCTTTCTCTTTGTCTCCCTTTTTCTCTCTTTCTCTTTGTTTCCCTTTTTCTCTTTCTCTTTGTCTCCCTTTTTTTCTTTCTCTTTGTCTCCTTTTTCTTTCTTTGTCTCCTTTTCTCTTTCTCTTTTTCTTTGTCTCTTTTCTCTTTTCTCTTTGTCTCCTTTTTCTCTTTCTCTTTGTCTCCCTTTTCTCTCTTTCTCTTTGTCTCCTTTTTCTCTTTATCTTTGGATTTTTTTTCTCTTTGTCTCTTTTAATACCTTTCTCTTTGTCAGAATTTTGTCTCCCTTTCTTTCTCTTTGTCTCTATTTGTCTATTTTTCTTTTGTCTCTCTCTTTGTCTCCTTTTTCAATTATTTGCTTTGTCTCCCTTTTTCTCTTTTGTCTCTTTTATTTTATTTATTTATTTCTTTTTGTCTTTTCTCTCTCTTTCTGGTGCGTGGGCTTTGAAGATATATATGGATATTTTTATCTCTTATAATGTCGCTCTTTTCCTTAGACCGTATTTGATATTTTCTTTTTCTTTTCAATTTTTCCTTTTCATTTTTTTTATTTTTTATTTCATCGTCTGTTCTTTTGGTTCGCCTCTCTTTCTTTCCTTCTCTTTTCCTTGTCTTTTTCTTTCTTTTTCCTTCATTTTTTTTATTTTATCATTCTTCTTCTCTTTGCCTTCACTTCCTCCTCGTTTTTTCTCTTACTTTTTCTGTCTTTTGGTTTTACGTTTTTGGTTTTTTCATTCTTATTTTTCATTTTTTTTTTTTTTTTTTTTTTGTTTTCCTTTCTTTTTATCTTCAGAAGAACAAAGAAAAAACAAAACTGTTTTCCTTTGTTTACGCTTTCCTTTTTCGCCTTTCGCTTCGATCCTTTCTTTTTTTCGCCTTTCGCTTCGATCCTTTCTCTTTTACCGCCTTTCGCTTCGATCCTTTCTCTTTTACCGCCTTTCGCTTCGATCCTTTCTCTTTTACCGCCTTTCGCTTCGATCCTTTCTCTTTTACCGCCTTTCTTTTTTATCTGTTATTTTTTCTTTTTCGCCTTTTTCGTCTATTTTTTTTTCTTTTTCGCCTTTTTCGTTTATTATTTTTTTTTTCTTTTTCGCCTTTTTCGTTTATTATTTTTTTTTCTTTTTCGCTTTTGTGCACAGAAAAACGATGAAGAAAGTAAAACCTTTCTTCCTTTTTTTTTTCTCCCCCCTGCTCTCTCACCCTTTCCCCTTCCCATTCTTATCTTGTCATCTCATTTATCGTCCCTACCCCAACTCCATCTTTCCTTTCACTTATTTTGTCCGTCTTCCTGCTTAACTTGCTCCACATACCCCCACCCCCAGTTTTTCCTACTCCCCGTTTAAAAAAAAAAAAAAATCCCCTCTCCTTGGAGCGACTTGACGATCTCCGAATGAGTCACCTGTGAACCCTACTGCTTTCAAAGTAGCACACATCGACTCACTAAAATGCGCAGGCATCGAAAGAGAAAGGGAGTCGACAAGAGATTGATGATGGCGAGATGGAAGTATACGCCGAGGCTCAGGTAGATCAATAGGTAAATAGGGGAGGGGGAAGATCAATAAGTCTATAAAATGTTTTTAAAAAAACTGAATTTTGAATGGAATCTACGTTCATTTGTATATGAACATGCAGTTTTAGTACGAGTTTATACGTCGTATTTAAGTTTCATATAATAGCTATTTTGTAATAGGGCCTGCAACAAGAAAGATTTTTTACGAAAAAATATATATGAAATATATATATATATATATATAATTTTCCATGTATAATACGCATTTTTCTAAAAAAAAATAATAAGCAAAATTAGGGGTGCGTATTATGCACAGCTACAAAAAATCTTTAAAAAAGTTACCACTTCACAGGTCGATTTCAGTTGCAAAATGACTACTCACAACAAACATACGAAAATTTGACACTAACATTCGGCGATTGCGACCCCATAAGGATGTCAAATACAATATGTACCTAACAATACTTACAAATGTAAAATAAAATAAGAATTATTATAAAACTAAATTAGAATAATATTCTATGTTTAAAACCATTTTTAATAAGAGTAGGAAACGCTGGCCGTAATGAAATTGGAGAGCTACAATTTATAGGGTTTGATTACCAAAAAAGGGGTGCGTATTATGCTTGAGTAGAAGCATTTTCCCACACTTTCACCACAAATTTAGGTGTGCACATTATGGATGAAGACGTACTATGCATGGGGAATTACGGTATATATATATATATGCTTATACATTCTTTTGTGTGTGTGTGTGCATTTGGAAAAAAGTTTTGTACCGCGTTTCCTCTGTTAGGATTTCATCGTACTGGGCTTTGTTGTTTTTGCCACGTCTACACATGCGCACGAAACGAGAGACGCTGGTCGTTTCAAAATGTTTGAAAGAATATTTTTTCAATTTAGCCAGATTCATCTGTATTCTTTTTCTCTCCATCTCCTTTGTCCCTGACTATCCCACAGTGTGACAACAGAAAATCTACCAAGAATGGTGATTCAATGTAAGAATCTGGACGCCAATTTACCCTGGCTGGCCTAGCGATCAAGGCAATTTCCTGGTTTGTTTTCGTTTCAGTGGAAATCGAAGGATTTTTGTCCGGCCCGCCAACTTAACCCCTGGATATTGATTATCTAATTTATTTGTGGTGTAAGTGGCAGAAAAATATCAGTTAATCGACTTACAGTGCTATGAATTTTTAAATCAACATTTCATTCTGAACCCACTGCTGTTTTCTACAAGAAATATGTCTTGCCAAGCGGAAAATATAAAAGCTTATTGAATAATGTGAAAATGGTAGCATTATTTGGAAGTACATATATGCTTGTTAAGAACTTTCTTCGAAAATGGAATCTACTAAAAGTCGTTTAAGAACAAGACTGGTTGATGACTACTTGGATAATGTTTCGCTCCTGTCATCGACAAATATTTCACCTGATGTGAAGTTATCGAACAATATAGTCTTATGAAATAATTTGCCATTTCCATCTGTATTTCGTTTTGGGGTTTTTTTTTTTTTTTTTTTTTTTTTGGTTTTTTTTTTTTTTTTTTTTTTTGGTTTTTTTTTAGTAAGGAATTTGCATTTTTTTGTTGATTGTGTTAGTTGTTATTCTGTAGTAAAAATAAGGGACATTTTTATAAATAATATAACATGAACTTTTTTTTTTCTTCAAACCTCCAAAAGAACGCAGCCTTCTGGACGGAGCGGTCAGAGGTCGAGACAATTTATTATAGTACATTTGATTTTATGGTCCTCCTCCGAGACACTTCATACTTTTCTGGCCTGCTCTCACCAAAAGGTTGCCGACCTCTGGCTTAAGATATCAAATCCTAAGCATGGTGCGTGAGTAAATTGGAAAGTTACCAGAAATATGACTAGAACTTGTAATCCACTTAAAGTTGTTCTTTTTTCTTTATAATTAATTGTGTCTATTTTCTTAGCTGTTCATTTGCATTTTCATTTTTTTTGTTCTTTCTGTCGCCATTTACTTTCGTTCTGTCTATTTCTTCTTTTTTTTTTTTTTTTTCCAAACGAGGGTAGTCTTCAGCCGCTAAATTAAATAGTGGAAATTAAAATTATTATTAACGCAGGTGTCTTAGCTTTTACTTTCCCCCACCCACTTTCGACTCTCTCTGCCTCCCACCCCCTTTCGACTCTCTCTCCTCCCAACCCCTTTAACGTTCCACTCAATTTTTTTTTTTTTTTTTTTTTGTTGTTGTTGAACGAGTCATTTGACTTTTTTTTTTTTTTTTTTTTTTTTTTCCCCGGCACAAAACGACAGCTATGGGGCAGCCGGTGAGGATCGAACTCACTACTCGAAAATGTATCGTTAGCAATTATTCAACGTTCAGGTGTTTCTGTATGATTAATTTTCAAGACTAGCGATGAGAATTCAGCTTAATCAAATCTGGTTTGGTAGCTTCCGGTCGAAGTCTAGTCTCGCCTGAAGAAAAGAAAATACCGTATTTCCTCGTGTAACTCGCGATCTCGCGTATCGTGCGACCCCCAAATTTTCACATATAAAAACGATTTTATCATGTATCATACGAGTTCCTTTTTTTGAGAAACCAAATTACTAACCTCTTTTCCTCTATCGCTTTATCCCATCTTCTATTTAAATAAGTTAAAAAAAAGTAAAAGAGAATGATAAAAGTATCGTTAGTAACACTATACTCGTTGCGTAAACGCGTACAGCAATAAACAACCGAATGAGAAACATCTAAACATCTTATAAACGTAAACAATGGAAAAGATGCATATTCGCCATGTTTGTATTTTATAATATGATACAAATATGTGAATATTACATGCATTGTTATTGGATACAGTTAAGTAAAATATCAGTTTTATCAAAACCATGTTTATTTTAAATACAGCTCTACTTTTTGACTACAGTAAATGGATATATAGTTTGGTCAGTGGTGTAGCCAGGGCCAGCAGTGCATATGCTAATTTTATATCTCATGTATGATGTGACCCTCTTAAAATTAGCTTCAAAATAAGGTCTTCAAATGTATGATACACATGTATATAGGGTACTTTGAACTTCTGGAGTTAGTTTAAAGATCGGAAAAAACACATAGCCTGTGTAACACATCAGTATTTCATTGATTGATTCATTTTTTTACGGCTTATCAACTCTTTTCAGGTTATTTAAAGCCAGAAAATATTTTGGGATTGTAATTTTTTTTGTTCTTGTGATAATAAGGATTAAGTGATACCAGTCTTACTAATTAACCAATAGCTGGGGGAGAAGAGATGGTTGTATAAGTGAATATAGCGAACGCAACTGTAATTGGAAGTCGACTCTCAGATTAAAAATTCCGAGCTGTAATCCATTACACCACCCGCACATCCAAGCTTACGGCACCTGCTATTCCCAAGCGGTCACCCATCTAGGTAATAGTCAGATTCGACGTTGCTTAACTTCAGTGATCGGACGGGAACCGGGTTTTCAACGTGATATGGCCGTAAGCCAAAGTTCCACGAATTTGTATTCAGAATTAAAAAAAAATTCTGAATGCAAATTGCTTCCAGTCAAGGCTCGAGAGACCAGTCTACACTACTATTTAATCCCCCAAATTTTCCTGCATCTCGGGTTTTTCCACTATTCTAAGATTAATGCTAAAGATTTTTTTTCTGCTGTTGGTTAGGTATGCGATTTATGCAATGCTTATTGGCTCGAAATCCGTGAGGAGGGTTCTGGGTAAGACGATAAACTACATCCGCGTCCTGGGTAAGACGTTAAACTACGTCCAGCATCAAGGCCTCTGATCAGGAGGGTTTAAGGAGCGTGGAACCACCTCTTAATTGCTGGTGTTCTTTGGTCCATCCTGACCCGGGGTGGTAGCACCTGTTAGGGTCCCCGCTATGGACAAATAGTTAACTATTACAAGCAATACAATTTTGAAGGAAATATATTACCAGAAACAGATTTTTGACAAAGCAAAATATTACCAGCAATAAAAATTTTTGTCAGCATTAAATAACCCATTGAGGTTGATATGCCGTAAAACAAAATAAACCAAACCAATTTAAACCAAAGAATACATATTCTATTCATACGAATCTATCCAAAAAATATTGTCGGCATTAAATAACCCATTGAGGTTGATATGCGGTAAAACAAAATAAACCAAACCTAGAGAAAGGTTCGAATCCCGTTACATTCTTTTACTGGCAAAAACTCTTAGAAAACATTAATTTATCACTCCTCCAGCTGTAGGTTAAATAACAACTTGGTTCTTTAGCCTTGGTTGGCAATCAGTCTCAGAGAAAACTTTTTGTGTGTTGAGCTGTTCTTCCTTTGTAGCGACTTAGTAAGCGTTGCCCAGATGTGACACAAGGCTGAAATTATGGAGCACCACGTGAGGAACGAATTCGCTATTCAGCCGTAATTATCTAGCGAGTCAAACTTGCTAAGCATTTACACTACGTGGAAGTGCAACGTACCTTGTAAACATAGCTTATGTGTGGCACAAGGCCGAGAGTATGGGACACCCAGTGAGGATCGAACTCACTATTCAGGCGTAATTGATCTAGCGAATTAAGCGTGCTTACCATTACACCACGTGGAAGTGCAATTTATTTTGTAAGCGTAGCTTAGATGTGGCACATTATGGGGCACCTCGTGAGGTTCGATCTCGCATTATTCAGTCGTAATTGATCTAACCAGACAAGCTATACCACGTCAAAATGTGTCGCTTCTTATTCTGTAAATGTATCTCTCTATATTTCTGAGATGAGGTATTATGTACACTATTTACATTGTTCGGACTATTGTCCTCATCTTTGTCACCATATTTATTACAACGTTTCGGCCCTTCAGTATCTGTCTATATTTCTGAGATTAGGTATTATGTACACTATTTACATTGTTCGGACTACTGTCCTCATCTTTGTCGCCATATTTATTACAACGTTGAACGCTCCGGCCTTCTTCAGGTGGTTGGAATGTCGAAATGAACCCTTTATTTTGCTGGGGTAGACTGTTCTAGTTCCACGTGTCATGTTTAATGGATGTCAGTTATCAGTTGTCTCCTGTTAATTTCACTCTGAAAGTTCTCCACACCCTTAACCAGGTATTGAACTCGCACTCTTTGGGTCCTGTCACTGGATCTAACCAACGCCTTTATCCACTGTGCCATGTGTCATCTGTTCCGCAAATAAATATAAACCTGTTCAAATTTAATGTCAGCCGTTGTCTTCCCCGCATATCCTCATAAACTGTGCCTCTTAATCTGTAACTCTCTACCTCGAGTGGCTCTTGGGCCTGGTAGAGCATGAACATCATTGTAAAAATATAGAATATTTTAAATTTCGTTTATATCAGTTTTTTATGTTTATTAAAAATTATTATTATTGTGTGTCCCGTAAAATCGACTCACTGTGCATCTGCTCATGAGCGGGAGTAGTGGGGGTGCATCATGGCCAGATTGCAAGAGGTTTGTCTATTTTTAAATTTTGAAGAACGAGCCTGTCAAGACAATGTTTGAGTGACATGTCAATATTTGGGAACACCTTCAAAAGGGAACCATTCAAGCGAATTCGGTTATCTGACCTGAAAGTATTTCTAAGTTCATTTAGATTTGTAGGCCCGACCAGAATGCCGTCAGTCAACCGTTGAATTATTTGCCTGACGTCTTAAATTGCTTGTTTATTACCTGAACTTAATAGCAGATGAGGAAGAATAAAAGGTATTCATTTCATTTCTTTTCTATTCTACCATCGAACTGTGATCGTATAAACTTGATTCCTTGTGCGTGCGTACGGCTTGTTCATTACCATTGTGCGTGCGTGCACCTTGCCGGTCTCTGCTTCTCTGTGCGTACGTGCGCGCGCTTTGCCTGTCTCGGTCTGTGCGAACGAGCGCGCGCCTTTACAGTCACTGATTCTCTGTGCATACGTGTGCGCGCCTTGCTGGTGTCTGCTTCTGTGTGCACGCCTGACTCCCTAAGTCTGCTTTTTTTTTCTTTTTCACTCTCCCTATTTCTGTCTTCGTTTTCCGTTTTTCTCTCTATTTTATTTATTTTTCTCTCTATTTTGTCTGTTTTTCTCTCTATTCTGCTTATATTTCTCTCCTGTACATATTATCCCTTGCCAAATTAGTGTTCGACATTAAGAACTGGTCCCTTACTAGTAAGACTTTATTTCAACGCTACCATCTAACTAACTGAAATGTGGTAACTCGGACAGGCTCAAATATAGTTACATCCACTGATTTACTAAAAACTTCGCATTGGTATGCTAAGTTTTTAGTCAACCAGTAAAAAAAATAAAAAAAAATTTTTATCGTCAAAATCTTTATTAAGAGGAAAGACCAAAGGATTAATTGATTATTAAATTATTAAATTATTTTCCTCTACTTGTGGCCAAAAATTAGTATAGGAAATTTATCGATTCGGATAGAGGAATCGGAGAGCCGAGTTCGAATTTCAGTCGAATCCATTACATTCACTTACATGCTAATACCCTTGGGAAAGGGGTGAATCCTCCTCTTCTCCCCAGCCCAGCTATGGGTAAATAGCAGGACAGATTGGATTTTACAGCCTTGGATGGCTACTGGTCTACGGCAGAAAGAAATGGCAACCTACTGCGAGAAAAAAAAACTGCCTCGTCAGACATGTAGCGAAAGATACATGATCGCCTAATTGTGTATTACGCATGTCACATAACTGACTGACTAGAGACTACTTTGTGATAAAAAAAATTTTGTCTGTCTATATTTCTGAGATGAGGTATTATGTACACTATTTGCATTATTCGGACTATTGTCCTCATCTTTGTCGCCATATTTATTACAACGTTTCGGCCGTTGGACGCTCCGGCCTTCTTCAGTTGGTTGGAATGTCGAACTGAACCCTTTCATTCGCTCACTGGAGTAGACTGTTCGAGTTCCATATGCCATGTTTAATGGATGTCAGTTATCAGTTATCTCCTGTTAATTCCCCTCTGAAAGTTCTCCACTGCCTTAACCGAATATTGAACTCACATTCTCTGGGCCCTGTCACTGGATCTAACTAACGCCTTTATCCACTGTGCCATGTTTCCTTGAGGACGGATGGCACAGTGACAGGACCCAAACAGTGTGAGTTCAATACCCGGTTAAGGCAATGGAGAACTTTTAGAGGGGAAATTAACAGGAGATAACTGATAACTGACATCCATTAAACATGGCACGTGGAACTAGAACAGTCTACCCCAGCGAGCGAAATAAAGGGTTCATTTCGACATTCCAACCACCTGAAGAAGGCCGGAGCGTACGATGGCCGAAACGTTGTAATAAATATGGCGACAAAGATGAGGAAAATAGTCCGAATAATGTAAGTAGTGAAAAACTATTGATTCGGAAATTCTTTCAAAAGTCAAAATGATTGTCGAATTTTAATGAAACTTTCAGGACCCATGCACAAATTAATGAAATTTCAGGAATCTTTTTTTTTTTTTTTTTAAATATATTTTTTACATCTGTTACCCCACACATTTAATTTCATGAAATTTCGAGAAATTTGTCCCGTTTAATATTTATTTGTATTAGTCCAAAGCAAAACTCCTTGGAGAATTTAAATCCTCAATTTCTTTTTATAAAACAGGAACTCAGTTACCGAAAATCTGCTGTGAACCGTAAAATAGAAAATGTCATGAAACTAAGACATTATTTAATTAGAAAATATTTTAATTATTTATATGAATAAGTTATTATGGACACCATTGTCTAAAGAAAAAATCGATGAATAATGAATTTTTACAAGGATTGTTTAAATTTTTTTATTCGATCTTATTTTGTAAAGGTTAGGTGTTATTGTTATTAAATAAAAACTATATATACTAATCGTAAATTGAAAAGATTAATACAATTTAGCGACACCAAATATTTTAAACAGAATTTTGAATCTCTTTTGTATGTGTGTAAACATGCCGATTTTTGTAAATACGGGTGTCCATACACGACATTATCAGAAAATAAGAGCGATTACTATAGTAAATTTAAAGCCAAAGTATTTAAAAATCAGTAAAACATTAGATTACGGAGAATATTTTTGTAAGTTTTTAATTACTGATTAGTTAAAATTATATTAAAAAAGGCACTCACGTTATATTCTTGAAGTAAATGTTACAAATATGAACCCCGTAGAAAAACATTATGCTTTGTCATTGAAGCTGTCAGCACCTAAAAGAAACACATGCCGCCGTGCAAAAATGAATATCTGCGACATTTTAAACTTTAAACTTAAAGTAAGATTTGGTTAAAATTAAAATTTTAATCAGCTAATGTTCCTCAGATAAAGTTTAAGAAAAGTATATTTAATTTTTGGAACATTTTTTAAAATAGAGACTATTACATTGTGATGACAGATGGTTAAAATCAGCAATAGTTAGTGAATTCAAAAAGAAACACTTCCTTCACTCAATTGAAATTAGTTTCAAATACAGCAAAGTATATATAATATATATATATATATATATATATATATGAGTTTTCTTATTAATCCATTTTGTTCTGAGCCGGGGACTTTTCAGCTCCCCCACTATAATTTCACGGATATTATTATATGCAAAAAGATTATTAACTGTTTTATTTTTTCTTCTTCCACTGAAAATACAAACAAAATGAACATACGAAACTCGGATCGTTAATGTAAAAATGAGTGCTGATGCAGACCCCAAATTCTTTTTTTCTTCTTTTTCTTATTATTATTACTATTAAGCTGCAAATAAGATTGGAAATTGTTTCATTCTTCGAGTTCGGGCATTTTAATGGGATTGTCATAGCAACAACCTCGTTATAATAGGCTATAACAAACACTCCCACAAAATCAAATCATATATATATATATATATATATATATATATATATTATTATTTCCACACTTGTAAATCTTGTATTGTTATCGATTGCAACATCTATGTATCTCAGTCTTATCCACATCTATCTAGCTATCTATCTATTTCAGTCCTTTCATTTTCTATCTGTTTATAAAATTGAAATTATATGCTCAAGTGTATAGTAAAACCTGCTCAAATTTTGGCATGTCAGAGAACAAAGGTTAGGGAGAAGTTGATTCACGCCTTTCACACTCTTGTCAATTTCAATAAAAGTTATAGCAATTTTATAGAGTTGCAATTTGAGGAGAATATTGTTGGATGCACTTGAGTAAATCTCATTTTCTCGACGGCCGCTGCAGACAATTGCATTAGATTTCGCTTAATGGAAGGGGGGCCCAGTGTTGTGTCACTCTGGCAAGTTGGGAGAAAGCCTTCATAACAGAGAAACCAGTATTCGAAATCCCAACTTGTGCTCTAAAGTTGCTCACGAACGCCACTGAGAAATAGACGCCCATCTCCACCAAGATTAAGAATGCGAGGTCCGCAGATAGGCAATTCACTGTGTCAGCGAAACAGTTGTTTTTTTTTTCTAGCCAGAGTCTATTTTACATAATTATAAGATTACCATTTATCCAGGTTTTAAATATTGTTGCCACATTTGGTCGGTTGCTCCTAGCTAAATATGTAGAGATTCCTGATAAAATTCAAATAATCTGCAATGTTATTGGTCTTGACCTGGCATCTCCGCTTCAGTCGCTTTCCCTAACGTAGCTTACCTGTGCCTTTTCTATAAATACTTTCATGGTAATTGTTCTTTGAACTCAGAGACTTTAAGAATTTAAGCGGAGTACTAGACTGGCTGTTAGATCTCGTTATTTTACTGGTTAAAATGTCATATATATATATATATATATATATATATATATATATATAAAGGCTCAAAAACTAATATTCCATGGTTATAATTTTCTACATTGGAATCGTAATCACGACCCAATTCATCAGACCTACAAATTAAAAAAAAATCAGAAAATATAATGTATGTCTGATGAATTGATCGTGATTTGATTCCAATGTAATAAATTATAACCATGGAATATTAGTGTTTGGGCCTTTTTATTATATTCTTCCTCTGTCCTGACATTGAGTTCTACCTGGATTCTATCCTCTTGGGAATAAATATATATATATATATATTGACCACTAATATATATATATAATATTATATATATATATATATATATATATATATATATATATATATATATATAAACCGTAAGTTCTATGCTATCAATTTTTTTCTGGCTTGTAGAAAATCTCTACTAGTTTCTTTGTTTCCCTGTCAAATTTAATCATCAGAAATCTAAATGCAGTGTCAGTCGTCATCTGCTGTCTTCTTAATTCTTGTTCTTTTATTGTCTTCTCTTCTTGGGTGGTAATCACCCTAGGGGACGGGGGGGTGAAATCTGAAATATAAATAATGAAGACAATATCAGGAAATCACTCAACTCTTTCCCAAAAAGCAATGCTGACTCTGAGAAATAGGAAATGTTTGTGGAGAGTCATGATCACTTGATTGACCACACAATGTTCTAAGATGTCTCCATTTTTTTTTTTTTTTTAACTTCCGTTAGAATTTGTTTTAAGAACAGCCTTTCAACATTATTCAGCATATATTTCGTTTGAGAGAGGGGAAAAGGGAGAGAAAGGGCGCGGCAAGGGAGAGGAAAGACGGTAGAAATGAAAAGATTCAGAGAAAAGGGATTCTCATGAAGTTAGAACTTTTAGTGTTCCTATCTTTGCTTAGTGACTATGTTAACAGTTTCTTTTCTCTCTTGTAAAAATCTTTACCGTCTTTTTGCTTCGCTGTCGAGTTTAATCTTCAAAAATCTAAATGCAATGCCAATCGTCATCTGTCTTTTTAATTCTTGTTCTTTTCTTGTCTTCTCTCCTTAATAGTATATTTTTCTCATATTTTCTATCACTGAGGAACTTCTCGCATCTTAGTGGCTTTATTGCCTTGCTTGGGGGTGAAATGATTTAAAAAAAAAAAAAAAAAAGAAAGTCGGATTCTTACTGAAGATATTCTCCCCCCGACTCTCTAAATTTATTATCTTCTACAGGGTGCAC